ACAAACGATTTTAAATACTGTATAAATTTATATATAATATAGTATAAATTAAATTTAAAATTTATATTTGGTCCTTCAAACTTTGAATGGTTTCCATTTACCTAGTATTGATGAAACAATTAACACTTAAAAAGGTATGTATTGTGATGTCAATCATTGTTAACATAATTTGATGTAGCATTTTAATTTGTCTGCTCTTAAAGGCTATTTCCAAATGCAAAAGTCAAGTTATAGTATTGAATGTATTTAACGCAGCATATACACAATAAAGAAACTCAAAAAAAACGTATATTACCAAATATTTTGGTTGAAAAAGATGGAAAATTGATCATTAACCCTTCATATTACAAAAATGATTTTACGTGTTCACCTAATTCTAACAAACTGGAGCTCGAGAGGTCAGTCAAAAAGTTACATACTATGGCTGAAAGCAATATTGTAATTTACAACTATTTTGAAACTCTTATGAGATAATTTTTTATTTTTTTTAGGATTTTAAGCATATTAGCATATATATTAGTCTTGCTAGTATAAGTGGTGGACCAGAAATATATGTGAAACTTTACTGGATGAATGAAGTCGATTTTAGTTAGACGGAGATCAGTAAATGCAAAGATAAGATATTGTTTATGTGTTCATTAATGAGATATGGACAATTTATAGCAGCGCTGCTCTATTCTTTTGGGGTAGTTTGAAGCAACTTTCATCAAGCGAATCGTACCTCCAAAACATTCATATACTTTTGCTTGGCAATATCATCTGACACTTGATTCTCAAGTAATACCTATGAAAATTCATTGCACAACATCTAGTAAAATGAACTACAAATCTAATAAATTAATATAGTTATCGCGTCAAACCTTAAAATCCATTCCCTTTTATAAGTAGTTTCTATTGTATAAATATATTTTCTTAAATATAGTAATATTATATATGCATCATATTCTGGGTCATAAATTTTAAGGTAGAAAGCAAGACATGATTATGTTGGCAAAGTCTTAGAATCATATGATTTATAATTATTTGCCAAAGTTCATTCCTTTGTCTTAGTATGTAAGTGTAAAAAGTCTCTGTAATGTATTTAATTCTCAAGCCTAACGAGATGTGCACACAAATTGAACATTTCTTTTACATCTATATTCACTAAATGAGAAAATAGTAAATGTTGGAATCAACATCTCACCCTATGATTCTAAAAAACATTTTGACTACCATTATATTCATCCAGTATTGACTGTAGTTTAATACACGTATAGGATCGGATAATTATCCAGATAGTTAGGATTTTAAAATACAGATTGCTACTCTAGTCCAAGAGAGATATAGTGGTATAGTTGTTAGACGAAACCTTGAGGTTTTGCGCTGACAAAACGCGAATCCTAGTTTCGTCTTTCATCAATTAAAATAGGGTGATAAAACTAATAAAAGAAATAAATGTTGTTGAAAATCATTGAAGATTATGTGTATAAAAAACAAAAAAAACCAGAAATTTATAAAAATTACAAAAAAAAAAATTTTTATTGTATAATAGACGCTTGAAACGAGTATTCTATATTATATTATACATATCAGTTCTTATGAGAAATCGCTTGGTGCTTACTTTGTGATCTACAAATTTATTTTGTGCTAGTATGTTTTAATTCATTATTTGTGCTGGCATGCATGTAATTTCAAATACTGATCTCTGAATAAATTATGAATGCTAATTCAATGAAAATAACATTTTGTTTCTTTTTTTTTTTTTTTTTTAGCGGTGTACTAGGGTTTCATCTTTTGAGTGTAAGTTTTCGTCATTTTAAGTTTAAGGTTTCGTCTTTCGTCAGAGGTTTCGTCTTTTGGGGTTTAGATTTCGTCATCATGCGAAAAAGATTTCGTCTAACAACTATAGTCGTTCGTGATAACTTTGTACGCGTTTTTTTGGAAATGGGCAGCAGCATTAGAGATGGGCAAAGTCAGTTACATATTATTACTTAATATTACTTAATATTACCTTGAATAAGTATTATTAAGTA